CGGCGCAGCAGTACCACGGCGAGAAGGGCATCTCCGTGCCGGACCACGGCTTCTGCCAGCCCATCTCCATCCCACTCTGCACGGATATCGCCTACAACCAGACCATCCTGCCCAACCTGCTGGGCCACACCAACCAGGAGGACGCGGGGCTGGAGGTGCCCCAGTTCTACCCGCTGGTCAAGGTGCAGTGCTCGGCCGAGCTCAAGTTCTTCCTCTGCTCCATGTACGCCCCGGTGTGCACCGTGCTGGAGCAGGCCATCCCGCCCTGCCGCTCCCTCTGCGAGCGGGCCCGCCAGGGCTGCGAGGCCCTCATGAACAAGTTCGGCTTCCAGTGGCCGGAGCGGCTCCGCTGCGAGAACTTCCCCGTCCACGGCGCGGGCGAGATCTGCGTGGGGCAGAACACGTCGGACGCCCCGCCGGGGCCTGGTGGCGCGGCGGGGGGGGGGGGCGCCCCCTCCGGCTTCTCCTTCTCCTGCCCCCGGCAGCTGAAAGTGCCCCCTTACTTGGGCTACCGGTTCCTGGGGGAGCGGGACTGCGGGGCCCCCTGCGAGCCAGCCCGGCCCAACGGGCTCATGTACTTCAAGGAGGCAGAGGTGCGATTTGCCCGGCTGTGGGTGGGCGTGTGGTCTGTGCTCTGCTGCGCCTCCACCCTCTTCACTGTGCTCACCTACCTGGTGGACATGCGCCGTTTCAGCTATCCAGAGCGGCCCATCATCTTCCTCTCGGGCTGCTACTTCATGGTGGCAGTGGCCTATGCGGCGGGTTTCTTGCTGGAGGAGCGGGTGGTGTGTCTGGAGCGCTTCTCTGAGGACGGCTACCGCACCGTGGCCCAAGGCACCAAGAAAGAAGGCTGCACCATCCTCTTCATGATCCTCTACTTCTTCGGCATGGCCAGCTCCATCTGGTGGGTCATCCTGTCCCTCACCTGGTTCCTGGCTGCTGGCATGAAGTGGGGCCACGAGGCCATCGAGGCCAACTCCCAGTATTTCCACCTGGCTGCCTGGGCTGTGCCTGCTGTCAAAACCATCACCATCTTGGCCATGGGGCAGGTGGATGGGGATGTACTCAGTGGGGTGTGTTACGTAGGTATCTACAGCGTGGACTCGCTGCGGGGCTTTGTGCTGGCGCCCTTGTTTGTGTACCTCTTCATCGGCACTTCCTTCTTACTTGCTGGCTTCGTGTCCTTGTTTCGCATCCGCACCATCATGAAGCATGATGGCACCAAGACGGAGAAACTGGAGAAACTGATGGTGCGCATCGGTGTCTTCAGTGTCCTCTACACGGTGCCTGCCACCATTGTCCTGGCGTGTTACTTCTACGAGCAGGCCTTCCGTGGCACCTGGGAGAAGACGTGGCTCCTCCAGACCTGCAAAACCTATGCCGTGCCCTGTCCCAGCCACTTTGCCCCTATGAGCCCGGACTTCACGGTCTTCATGATCAAGTACCTCATGACCATGATTGTTGGGATCACGACTGGCTTTTGGATCTGGTCTGGCAAAACCCTTCAGTCCTGGCGACGCTTCTACCACAGACTCAGCACCGGCAGCAAAGGCGAGACGGCAGTATGAGACCCCCCTGCCCCCTCTGGCACGCACACACACGCATGCATGCACACACGCAGAGGAGAGGGATACTCGGCAGAAGAGGAAGGCAATGGCTCCCTGAAGAGGGAGGAAGGGAGGCTTTTCCAAACTTTTTCTTCCTCCCAGGGGGTTTGAAAAAAAAAAAAAAGAAGAAGAAATCTTTGCGTAAAGGATCAGATGGACTGTGTCGAGTGGTGCTTATGCCCAGCTAAGTAGAAGAGCACAGAAAAAGAAGCCGCTGGTGGGATGGGAGGGTCCTTCACCTGCAAGAAGTCCTCCTGCCTCTCTCTCCCTCTACCCCTGTGCAGGCAAAAAACCCAGCCCAACTGAAACCATCCTGTCCTGCTTTGGACGAGAGGGAGGGGAAGCCGTCTCTGCCCCCGCCGAGAAGTAGCCAAACCCTCTCTGCATTGCTGGGGTCAAACTGCAGCGCAGGCAGGGCCGCCCCCGGGCCTGAGCTGGCCGCCCGCGCCTTCCAGCTCGGAGGCGCAGCCACGTGAGTACCGCGCCGCCAGCCGCCGCCCCCACCGTCTGCGGGCGAGGGGCCGGTGCTGCCCGCTCCCGAGTTCCTTTTCGCCTCGGTGGTACCTGCTTTAGTTGTTTTAAAGTGAAAATTCGGCCCTCGGTCTGTTGTTCTTGCTGCTGTGGGGAAGGAGGGGGTTGCTATTCCACACCCTGAAAAGAAATGACTTGTTGCTTTTCAGCAGAAGGCTTTTCCCCCTTGCCTTTGTTCTAGGAGACAAAGGGGGAAACAAAAGTGTTTTCTATGTAGAAAGGCATAAGCATGGGATCGGTTTTTATGAGCAAACTAACAAAAAGAAGTCGTTGAGGTTCACCCTTGGATGTGAGGAGCTCGCAGAAATAAACATTCCTTTTATGAAAAGAGGCGAAGGCAGGACGTTTTCCTGCCGTTCAATATGGGTCGCTTTTCTAAGCTGAAGGAAACGCAAGACAGAGGGCAAGAAGAGAGTAACCGAGAGCACCTGCTAAAACAAGAGCCATTAAAATACGTAACGTAAAGGTACGATATTTTTCTTTCCTCCCCGTAAACCTGCTTTCTCCTGCTTTGCAGTGAGCTCGCTGCAGGTAACGTCAATGCACAGCCGGCTTCTGGGGACAGGAGGAATCCTTTTGGCTCACGATGGACCCTTTGCCTGCTCCTCAGGTTCCCTGAACTGCACGGCAAGGGCTGGTGGTGCAGGAGGGGGCTGGGGCTGGGGTTTAAAAGCAAGCGAGGAGCCTGCTCATTTCAGCTAAAATGCAGCTGGTTAAGTTTCCAGTGATCACGCCTTGGAAGGAAAGACATTTGAAAACTAATCATCAGATGCATCGTTTTCTTTTTGAAATGTGACAGATTTTTCTATTCTGAAATTTTTATGTTGCCTTGTTCATATTTTATTTTTTGCATACTACTTTACCTTTATATTCACTGAAGGGTTGTTTTTATAAGTATACGTGTGTGTGTGTATGTTCTTGCCTAAGGACAAAATAGGAAATTCTGGGGTTTTAGCAAGCCTCCACCCTATAGCTGCTCTTCATTTTTTGGGGGGAAAAGTGTCTGGAATGAAACTCAAAAAGAAAAAAACCTGTTCAGGGTGAGGGGGCAGACTGCTGCTGTCTGAGGGTGTACCAGGAGTCCGGGCATGAGGAATGGGCCCATCAGCCAAATCCTTCAGTAGATCTGATCTCAGACGTGCAGGGCTTGGGTTTTTGTCTTTTATAATGTGCACGTGGAAGAAAAAAACCAAACGTGTAAGACAAGTGCAGTATGTATATTTTGTAAATCTCATTTTTGTAAGAAAATATGTATTTATGTTTTTACTTTTTTTTTTTTTGAAGGTCTGTATGAGGCTCTGCTTCATCCCGTGTACAGATCACTAAATAAATAATTTTTAATACAAGGGCTCCGATGAAGTTCTTTCAGTCTTTGAACGCTCAGCAGGTTATAGAAGGGGGAGCAGCTCTGTGAGTGGCATCTTCCCCCCACCATTTTGTTGTGGGAGATGCAAGAGACTTTCGGGTGACTACACTGTGAATGTACTGACCAGAAACTCAGCTGTGACTTGAAACTGGCCTTTCTGAGTACTGGCCCCTCACAATAGAAGATCACATTTTGAGACCGTTTCAAATGTTTGCCCTTGCTCGAGGTACTTGGCATCCTAGCCAAGTTTTCTTCCAGGCTCTGCCTCTCACTGAGGGCAAGCTGATAAACCAGTTTCCTTATCTAGAAAATAAGGATAATGCTCTCTTCCCATTCCAAAGGGACTCTGAGATTGAGAACTGGAAGGTGCTACAAGTGCTGTAAATTAAATCCTCACTTTGATGGGTGGAGTGTTTTAGGGAAACACTGAGGACGGGGTCCTTTTCAATAGCTTTCAAAGGGCAGTGTTTTGAACTGGCTTTTTTCTCCCCCAGCACCTTTGCAATCTCTAGTTTTGTTCAGGTGACTTTTACTTTAATCTTAATAGCTAGCCTAAAGCCTACATTCTTTCTTATCACAGTCATCTGAAAGCTGATAGCTTCAATGGAATGGTCTATTTTATTTCATTTTTTAAACTGAAATGAATGTTTAGATCTCAAGCTGTGTTGCAACAATCACGGAAAGTGCCCCAGCAAACAGAATTTTACACCTGTGAAATGATAATAGTTTCCAGCTTTTCTCTCGCAATGATTTCAGCCTATTTATTGGGTTCATCACCCTTCCTTTGCCTTAAATTTTAGTATAGCCATGGTTTAAGTTACAGAACAGAGATCTAAGATGCCTTAGCTGGATGTCATCATGGTAGCTGTGGTTGTACTGCAATATTGTTTCATTTACTGAGCACAGTGTGTGATAGTTGCACTTTCTCTCGGGGCACTATTTTATTTGGACACTGTGCTCTCAAACATAATCTTTTACATTTACCATGTACGAACTACTGATTTAAAGTTCTTTTCAGAGCTAGCCCCATTCACGCTGCCTCTAGAAAAGCCACATCTTTTATTTGAAAACACCTCTAGCTGTTCCCCAGAATCGCTCACTTGTCAAGTTTCCTTTTTGAAAAGGCCTTTGCTTTCCTGCGAGTCAGGCTGCTTCAAACTGCTCCCTGACATGAGCTCACTGATCATTGCTGAGGGGGGTTTCATTCCACTCACTTAGGAAACCTGAACCTTTCTATAAACATTTCCTCCCATTAATCCATCAGTGCCGGCCGGAGCGATGGAACGGCTGAAACAGCTCGCGCTGTGAAGGACCGGGAACTGACGGGAGCAGTGGTGTGACTGACGGCCCTGTGCTGTGCAGCCACAGCTGCATCGCTAAACATGCAATTAATCCTTAATACATCATGGACAGCTAAGCCCGCAGTTCAGGCGGGCGGCCTGTTCCCCCTGGTCTTCTGTCCACTCACCACCGCTCCTTGCTAGCTGGATGAGAAACTGCATTTAGGTGTGATCGCTACTTTTTTGTCCATATGTGGAAAAACTTAAAACAGACCTTTTTTTTTTTTTTTTTTTTTTTAACACCTTATAAGATTAAAATTTCTAATTTCTCTTCCTTTCCTCTTCCTGTATTCTTTCCCCAATGATGTCTTCCCAACCTTACCTCTTAGCTCTGTTTTTTTTCTTCTATAAGAAAAGGATCAAATTAACTTACACTGTGTCTTCACTGTTTTTATTTATATTTAAGAAATAAAACTCTCTGATGGTACAACGAGGGACTTTTAGTTCACGAAGCATTCATATCTGAAAGGAAATGTTTCTGTTTCCACCAGAAACCACTAAAGCTGAATGCTTTTATTTCAGTATTTCCTATTAGGTACTTCTGAATTTAAAGTCACTTACACAAAACTATCCAAATCCTGGGATTTAAGCTGATTTTTAAAATTTGAGACTGTAGGTGAAATTTGATGCTGGTGTAAAGCAGAAGTAACTGCTATTCACTTTTAAGCAGATGCGACTTGTATCAAGACTGAATTTGCTCACAGTGGAAACAATTTGGAGAATTTCAAGTAGTGATAGCGTCTGGCCTTCTGGAATAAAAATCTCTATCACCATTCTGATAAGAAAGCAGCAGTTACTTTCATAATGGAGTACAACTTAGAAAATCTCTCTGTGAAGCTGTCTGGAAAAAAGGAGGAAAAAATAAGCCTTTAATAACCCTTGCTAATCGCTGCAAAACGGTTTTTCTTTGACTAACTTTTAAGTCCACTTTCAGTTAACATTTTTTTTTAGGTTTAAGGAAAGTTTCCTACCCTTCATCTTTGGCTCTTGTCTATGCACCATTTTTGGTTCACAAGACCTTGGCAAGTAATAGTTATCGTTGATCAATATCCCTGTAAGTTTACACCATATACTACATTTTCATGAAAAATATGTAAACACTGGTTCTTAAGTTTCGGAGATGTTTGTGTTACTTTCTAGAAGAAAGTATTATTATTTCAGGCAAGTTAAACAGGAGGCTTTAACAGTTCTAGAGTTCACGAATAGCAGCAGCAACTGAATGTTCGTCTCTGCAGAAAAAAGTGCTTTTATAATAGTGTTTGTTTGGGTTTATTTTTGGTGGAATACCCACACCAGCGATTGAATGGTTTTGTCTAAGTACTTCACCCACAACCAATAGCTTTGCATGCAAGTAAAAAACCACACATCTCTGTGTTCACCAACTGGCAACAGTAAACATTATTTATAATTTCACATGGGTTTAGAAACCAAATTACTAGCTTGTGTCTTAAATAGTCTTTTTTTTTCTGCATCTCATTCTCACTTCCTTCCAGACCTTACAGGTACTTTGTGTACACCCTGCTCTCCATAATTCCTTTCTACTCCTGTTATTTTTTAAAACCATGAATCCAGCTGAAAGAAATTTAGTCTGTTGCTTGGAGAGGAAAAGACGACTCTGAATCTTTCAGCACTATGACTGTTCATTGAGATAGACTATTGCCAAGCCTGTTCTATATAAACCAGGATAATTGTTTCATGCCAACATGAGTGTGTGGTTTTGGCAGCTACAACACTGCACAGGATAATATAGGATTGGGAGAATAAATACAGTGCATGGCAAGTTCCCAAATGCCCCACTTAGAACCGACACATTTTGACTAAAATGATGCCCAAACTGTAAAACTAAAATGCGTACATCAGAGTTTAATGCTGCTCAGACAACCAGTTTGTGCTGCAGTCAGAGGAGGACAGGGAGGGTTTTGACACTTTAAACCTGCGGTCCAAGGTTGCCTGGTTCGAGTGGCTGGGCATTGCTTGTCTCAAAACCAGATCAGTGGAAGTAAGGCACAGCATAAAGACCAGGCTTAAGCACAGCGTTACCACAGCTGCAGCCAAATAGGATTCGACTGAACGATGCACAGTGAGACCAGAC